CTAAATCAGAAGAGAATTTTACACTGTTCCTTGAAAATATTGCTTAATAAAATTAATGATTAGTAAGTTTATTGATTAGAAATAATTTCTATATTATTTGTAGTTTCTATAAATCTTTGAAGTTATTGAAATGGAAAATATTTTTTAAGCAAAACAGATATTACAGCTGTTCAAATATTGAGATTATATCGCCAGCGAAAAAATAAAAAAATGCCATCAGTTAATAAATGTATGTTAATTTTAATTACATAAAGTTCTTTAAACACAATTTCATGATGAGTGAAGTTGCCAAAACAATATTTGTTTAGGCGTTGTTTAACATAATCCACTATGTGAACGAATATTATAGAAGTTATTGTTCAGCAATTACTTCATTTCTCTAATGAAGGTTCATTTCTAAATGCTAATTACAATGACAAACCGATCATGTCATATTTGAAGTATGGTTTTATTTATATTATTGTTTCTAAATATTATACATATTTTTAATGCCGTTATAAATATATAATTTATTAGATATAAATTTGCATAATGGTCGACACTAATAAATGTGTGCATCACGAGTGTTACCACATTACTAATAAACATTATTCAAAATTGTTACATGATGTATTTATTTTTACTTAAATGCTATCTTGTACAGTAGCAAATAAGTTTTACTCGAATTGCGTGTAAACCTTACGCGCACACTTTTTATATAAAGTCTTTGTATGTATATAAATGTAGTGTAGTTGAACATCTTAAATAAAATTATCAAACAGGTAAATTCATTTTATGTGAGCAGTATACTCATACAAAGTTTTTTTTATGGTTAAGAATACCAATTAAAATAATACAAATTCATAAATTATATTCATAATTGTTATGAGATTTAATTTTTTGAGAAAAAAAAATACAAATCATTCCAGTAAGTTATTTTCGGGTTACGACCAAGAAAAATTCATAAATTAATAAAAAAAATAATATTCAAAACCAAAATATATAATGGATTAAATTATCTGATCTGGAGTGTTTGCAAACCTGGCCTTATAACTAGCAGGCGTGTCCAGGAAACAATGAACATAAATCAACCAGGTGGCACACTCCTATTACAAGCCACAGTAGGGTCGGCAGTGTGGGTCCTAGTTAGGGAAAATGATGTCCTTGCCTATGTTGTTATGCTGGCGGCTTTCTCGCAGCCGCACCAACGTATAATATTAGGATAAGGACACATTGCAAAAATATGGTCTTTTAAATTTTTGGAAATCGACTTATTGCTCTTGATCTAAACTAGTGGTATATGGCACCGTGTCTTAAGGAAAATTGTTGGAACTTCCCGTACTAAAATTAATTTTTTTTTTAAGATCAAATTTTTGAAACTTTGAAAAAAAATGATTTTTGGAAATATTGAAGTGTTTAAAAAAAATGATTTTTTTTTTTATTTTTTTATATTTTGAAATATTTCGTAAATTTTGAACTTTTTTTTAAAGCAATCGCGCTGCTTTAGCTGCATAGAAATAAAAAATCGAAGCGCGTAAGCGCCGCGTCGCCGTCTAACGGACAAACAATGTTACGGAACCTATAGAAATGTAAACAAAATTTATACTTATTATTAAAGTCTCTATAAAATATCTGAGATTCACTCGATCTCCAAAACCGCTAGAACTGCCTTCCCAAAAATCATCAGTTATTCATTCCGTCAATACAAATTAAATGTTTTCTGTCTAATTAAAATCGGGCTCTCCGTTTTCTTAAAAACGGAGTTACGGTTTTTGGCTATTTTTGCCCCGTATTTTCAAAACGTCTGAAACTGCCTTGTCCAAAAACTAATTAGCACGTCTTCCCTTCAATACTAATCGAATGTTTTTTGAATTATACAAATGGGCTGAACCGTGTTCCTAAAATCGTCGACAAAAGTTTTTATCCAAACGCACACACACACAAACACACACATACACATAAACATAATATACACACATACATAATTTTTATCTAAAGTGTGTTCAGAAACCGCTGAAACGTAAAGATATTTTCATTTTTTTCGCTTAGGAATGTTAACAATTGTTAGAAAATTCTAAATGTATGAGTTTTTATATAAATATGATAGAATCCTTTTCGTTTTTTATACAAATATGATGGAATTAGACGGCTTAAAAGAAGTTGGCCACCTTGAGTATTTTTGCAACCCGGCGGTCAATCTTCTCAACTTTTGTGTAGGTATGAATCTTATACTATTGGCATATATGTGTTGCAGCAATGCCAACAAAAGACAATTTTTACATGAGACTATATTAGAGATCTATAACCTTGTGGAAATTTGATATCATACTGCTCGATATCAAGCTGAAATCTAGATCGAACTCACAACTAGCTTTACAGGCTCACGTTATTTATTATATAAAAATGAGGAAGTAGAGAAAAAATTGCTATGTGTCCTCAGCCTAAGACCGTATTAGAGCAACGCCGAGAAAGGAAACTTTTCTAATAAGCAATCTGCTGGGGACACTGAATGAGCGTTCTCCTTGCTTAACATCACTAAAATTCTTATGGATTTGACTAAAAGAGTAATATTTAAATTTTCCGGTATTCAGTACCATGAATTTGATAAACGTCAATCTCATTTGATGTAGTAGGATAGAATTTATCGATTATCGGTTTGTTGAATGTATTCGATTGCTATTTGGCAATCGAAAATAAACATTATTTCAATATAATAATATTCAGAATTATTTTGTCAATCTAAATAAAATACATTTTTACTTCAAGATTTAGTGAACTATCTCAGAATTCTTAGTATTTGAAAAACTGCTTCAAAAACAAATAGAAAATAGAAATCAAATAGGGAATATAAATAATATTTTGCTTCAAGATAAGGCAAGTCGTTCATAAGATGTAATGGATATTTCAAAATAGTGTAAATTAACAAACTTAAATTGATATCAATGTTTGTTTATGTATAAGATTCAATAAGTCATTTGCAGCTACTTATTTTACCGTAGCAGTACCGGACATTTCAAAATAACCAGCATTGAACGCATATGTAGCCATCTCCACATTCTGGAATATCTGCACATTTATGTTTGACGAATATTCTTAAATATTGCAAAAAAAATCACTAATTATCTATCCGTTTGGCTGGGCTACACCGATGCTCTCAGCTGGAGCATTCATCATAAGATTTTCATTCTTTGATTAGAAAATACGAAAAAAGGGGTATGTAGTGACCGTTAGCACTCATACAGAACAAAATTAAATAATTCGAGAAATTACGTCCATTCTCACAAGAAATATCAATATGTTTACTTCCGGCGCTAAAGGACGACTTAGTGTCCGGTTCTAAGGAACAGACAATTTCGTTCATTTGATGGTATCTACTAAAATTGTTTAAGATGTCTAATAATATTCTACCATTTTACGGATAACAATCAAGTACTACTTTCATTTTTGAATGCCACTAAAAGATAAATACATAAATACACTAGAATTACTTCCATTGATATATAGGTGACGCCGTGTTTTTGCGCCTAAACAACAAAGGGTTGCTTCCGCCGTGGCCGTGTGCGTCACAGGTGAGTCTTGGCACGTGATCCTGCACCTGTGTGCCGCCCCGCGCCCCTTTCACTTGTATTTTGAAATAAAAAGATTGAAAAAGTGTCCGGCTTTAAGTGCCGTCCGGCGTTACGGGACTTCCCCCTACTGCTATAGGGCAGATCCGTGAGCTACTGAAGTTAGACTCGTACTCAATTCAGGGAAAAAATTGTGCAAAAGATTTCCTATTGCCAGTGCAAGAAATGAACTATTTTCAAATAGAAACATATTTTTGATCTATGTTTTTAAGTGAAAATGGACATCGTTGCTGCACGATGTCAGGTAGTCCATAGCAAGGACTTGAACTCATAACCCTGTCCATAAAAGGCAGTGCTTATTTGAAGTAGAGGAAAAGAAACTTTAATCACTTGAAGATGCAAAAATTTACTTTTGATATGTCCTTATAATTGAATTAATGAAATAGGCCAGCGATTTCCAACCTGTGGGGCGCGCCCCCCTGGTGGGGCGCGGTGCCGTCCCAGGGGGGGCGCGAAGCTCTTTCAAAAATATGGTTGTTAAATGCTGAGTAAGTGTCAAAAACAAATCAGCAAAATGTATGCAAGTTATCTACAATTTTCGCTGCAATTTTGTCAGAACAAATGTAAAAGCATGAATATACTATACTTTTGGTGCATTCAAAATATTTCGTTTTTGCGTTTGTAGTTGAGTGAGCTGTAGGCCTATAAACAAAAGATAAACACTCGGATCATATCGAATATTCACGTGCTTACTCGAGACTAACTTAAGTAAATAAACAAATGCATCCTTTTTATTCTGTTATCTATAAATCGAATTAGTTCATTAGTTGTGCTGGAGATACACGCGTTGATATATAGAAAAAATCATTTCTAAATTATTATTGAGTTAAAATTTATAGCTTTAGTTTTAGCACATTATTAGCCAGGAATTATTGTGAAAAGTAGTGAAAAAGTGATTTTCTTTGATTTGTTATAAAAACCGTTTGTAATGGATAAATACGTGACTGGGTTGAAAAGAAAATTTAATGAAGCAGAAGAAGAGGGTGGTGAAAATAATGGAAATGTTTCTTCACAAAATAGTAAAACTAAACATAGAAAATATGATCCAATGTACTTATCATTGGGATTTACGTATAAGATCATTAATGGTCAAGAACGACCAATGTGTTTGCTGTGTATGAATACTTTGGCCTCAGATAGCATGAAACCAAGTAAATTAAAACGACATCTGGAAAAAGTGCACGCCGATCATGTTGGCAAAACAAAAGAATTTTTCCAAAGAAAATTAGATAACTTAAATAAACAGAAAGAATCGTTTTAAGAAAAGCTTTGTCTGTATCACAAAAAGCGTTACTTGCGTCATACAAAGTTTCGTATAGAATTGCTAAATGCAAAAAACCCCATTCAATAGGAGAAACTTTAGTACTACCAGCAGCTATTGACATAATAGCTACGATGTTTGGTGAATCATATGCTGATCAAATTAAAAGCATTCCGCTGGCAGATAATACGGTGGGAAGACGGATATCTGATATATCTGATGATCTTTGCGATCAGTTGATAGAAAAAATTAAATTATCTTCTTTCGCGTTGCAAGTAGATGAGGCTACCGATGTTGCTAAGGATGCACACTTAATAACATATATAAGATATGTTATGGAAAATGATATTAGAGAAGAGTTGTTATTCTGTAAGGCAATTGAAGGCAAAGCTACGGCGAGTGAAATTTTTAATATGATTGATAACTTTTTTATTGAAAATGGTATTTTATGGGAGAACTGTGTTGGACTGTGCACTGATGGAGCTCCATCTATGGCAGGAAAAAATGCTGGTCTGCAGGCCCTAGTTCGAAAAGTGGCTCCTCGTGCAGTTTGGACGCATTGTATGATTCATAGGCAATCTCTTGTTGCAAGAAATATGGGTGAAGAATTACTTGAAGTATTTGAAATTATAATAAAAGTTGTTAATTTTATCAAAAATAGTCCATTAAGAGAAAGGCTTTTTGGAAAATTGTGTGATGACATGGGCTCAGAATACAAAGCACTACTTTATTATTGTGAAGCACGTTGGCTTTCTCGTGCTAAAGTACTTCAAAGGGTGTTTGAGCTCAAAAAAGAAATTGCCATTTTTCTTGCTGATAATAAAAGAGATGAAGCAGACATATTTTATGACACGAAGTTTCTCGCAAAATTTGCGTATCTAGTTGACATCTTTAAAAGACTAAGTGATTTAAATAAATCAATGCAAGGAACTCAAATTCATGCTTTTGTTCAAAAGGACAAGATTACGGCGTTTATGAAAAAAGTAGAGCTGTGGATAGCTAGTATGAAAAGTAATAACTTTGATATGTTTCCTTCTTTTAAAACTACATGTGTTAATGATGATGAAATAGAAGCAAGTAAAGATCTTATTATCAATCATATGACTAGTTTAAGGAACCAATTTGCGCATTACTTCAAAGATCTAGATATGTCCAAATACGAATGGATTAGAAATCCATTTGTTATTGATAAATATGATAATTTTGGACTTCCAACGGCAGAGCAGGAAATTATAATTGATTTATCTAGTGATAGCACATTGAAGCAGATGTTTCAGGACGAAAAGAATATTGTTAAGTTTTGGTTACAAGTAAAGGACGATTTTCCAACTTTGACAAATAAAGCCTTAGAAATTTTATTACCATTTGTGACATCCTACTTATGTGAAACTGGTTTTTCTGCAGTAGCAGTATTAAAAACAAAGTACCGATCTCGTTTAGTGATAGAAATGGAACTGAGAACAGCGATTTCTACAATGAAGCCGCGGTTTGAGAAAATTTGTGCTGAAAAACAAGCTCGACCGTCGCATTAATTTTTTAATATTGTGTGAAATATTATATCATTTGTTTTTATTAAATTTAAAATTATTTTTTTCCTATAATCCATAGTTATGTTTGTATGTATATTTTTGTATGTTTATTTTTGTATGTATGTATATTGTGCATTATTTGGTACGAGATTAAATAAATCATAATTTCAATTAAGTATATTTAAATTAAATTGTTAAAAAAATTAGGGGGGGCGCAATATTTTTTTCTTTCAAAAGGGGGGCGCAAGGAAAAAAAGGTTGGAAACCGCTGAAATAGGCCATTACAATAACCTATATGTACCGAGAGAAAGCAAATAAGAATCAAAAAAGTTCATTTATAAAGTTGTAAAGCAACTACTCAACATTAAAAAGAAAGTTCATCACACAAAATTCGTTCATTTGTGTAAGTTATTACGCCGGGTGATTAATGGACTAAATTTAATTCTTTGCTATGTTGTTGTACAACAAAACCCTGAACATGTCGCATTGTCATTGTTGGAGTAAAAGCACGGATAAAGTCTCCGTCAACTTTCCAGCGGCCGTAAATCATTCACTCACGTTGTCGGATATTCCGTTTGTTTCTGTGTCTTAATCACAAGAACATGGCAACAAATAAACGAACATCGCAAAATTGTACGATTCATTACACACCACGTGCCCAGTTTATTATGATTAATCGAGTATTGATGTTTGCGACGAAAACGAGAAAAAATTTAAGCGTTCCGAAACTAGTATTTCAAATGTGCCGTTGAAAAATGAAAGATTCAGAAGTACTTGTGGTAATAGATTCAAAATAACTTATACTACGGATCATAGACTTTCAATATAGATTTGGTACATCTATCTAAATTTATTTGTCAACCTCAAACTAATTTGAAATTTAGAAGGCAACACAATGACTATCTTAGCCATGTGTATTTTTTAATAGAAAGCCCATTAGTAGCACTTTTCTGATTGCATTGATATACTATTTCACGCTTTGCTGGCTATTTTAATTTGGGATTTTATTATAATTGAAAAAAAAAGTTGATGTTTCGGAAAGTAATTTTATTTTTTTTCCAACATGGAATCAAAGTAAGTTTAGAGTCCTTTAAAATATCATTGTTTAAAATTACATTTTTTGTTTCTTTGAAAGCTTAGGTTTTGTACCGATGTATAAGTTCCAAATAAATGAAAACAAATTTTATATACATTGCTCTATGTTTTTTTTTAAACATTCAACAAAAAAAATAAAATGTTTTTGTAGGTGTTTAATTACAGGGTTTTGATACTAGATACTAAATCCATTCCATCATCAGGTTTTTTATAAAAACACATCACTATTTTAAAAATAAGCAAAGTATATATATAAGTAAGTAATACTATTTTAAAGTAGAAGGCAAAAGATGTGTCCCCATCACCTTAAGGGGGTATTCTAGTGTAGAGCGATGAATTTTAGGTCATTTTTAAAGTGTCAAAAGAAAGCAATGAATGTTTTTACTATCCATTTTTTTACCACTTGCTTATTAAAATTTCTAAAATACAAAACAAAAATAAAAAAATAAAAAAAATGAAAATTGTAAAAACTGGCAGCTGATGAAGTGGGTGGTCTCAAAAAATTGGCACCTCGGTCTTGACACGATTTCAGCCCTCCTAGCCATCGGAAATGCAAAAGATTATTAATCTACGATGATGTCCCAATCGCCCGAACTAGCGATTGGCTAGTTTTTTACAAATTGGCGACTGTTTGAAAAAAAGTGTTTTTTCTACTGTTTTTTTTTTTTGAGTTTCAGAGTTTTTTAAAAATAGTAAAAATTGGAATTTGGGGATAATCCTAGTTCGGGCTATAGATAGGTCTATAAACAAGACTCTATGAACATTTCGAGTAAATAGGTCGATTAAAACTCGAGAAATCGTGCCAACAGTACTGAAAAAGTCTGTTCCGAGAAAAACGCATTTAAAGTTTTGCGTGAAGCCAAACCTGTATGGAGACCGAGTCAGTAAAATGCCTATATCTCCGAAAATAATTCAAATTTTTGAAAACATAAAATAAAAAAAAATCGATTATTTAGAATTTCTACACTAGAATACCCCCTTAATTTTTAAGAAGATAGACGAAAATGTATCAATATTCATTCATATCTTTTAGTTTTGAGCTCTTATATTTAGTTTGTAATACTTGAATACAATTTTTATGTTATTTATGATATATTATTATTTTTAAGTTAAATTCAACATTTTATTTTATATAGCCTCTATAAAATTTGCATATGGGTGGGGTAAAAAAGGACCGACCAAACCATTACAGTGACAAAGGTGTAAACAGTAAGAAATAGTAAATAAAAAAGTCAATTGGGTTAAAAACGTAATTTGACGAGAGATAAATTAAATTAATAGTTATTCCAACAGTGCTCGTGTTTATTACTGACAAAATACCAGATCAAGGTAATTTACAGTGTTATCTCTGTAACAGTTATACCCATAAACTTTATATTTTGCATTGGTTGAATAAAGTAGCCAATATTTTGCAAAAAACTTTAAATCTGCAAGTCTCCTCCTGGCTAGTCCTTAGAAAGAAATAGATGATAAATTTTAGAAAAATAGTAAGAATATGTATTTCTATAATAAGGATGAGTTGACTGGAAATTGTACTGAACATAGTTCGATAGTTGTTTGCTTGATACGTGTCATGTGTTGGAATGTAGTTCATTTCGTTTAGACAGTATAATTACTGGAAGTCAAATTGGACGTTTGTGCCCCTCCTGTAAATATACTTCCAAACGTATCATTCCATCGAAAATAACGCGATATAAAAATAAAGAGAACTCTCTCCCAAATTATTATCTAAATTCTCAACGACTTAATAAATGCACGACGTCGGATTTTTAAATTACCCTCGGTCGATGCTGCTATTGATACAACACCGACCCTCACATTTCTCCCAAAAGAGCGATTTCGCTCGTTCGCTAAATGCTCTATCACTTTCATTTGCTATACTTTTCGATTACATCTTTTTTGCTGTTATATTCCTCCGTTCTGTCGGACGTTTTCCTCCTCGATTTCCCTCGCTCATCAGCATTGGCCCATCGGCCCATCGGCCCATCGGCCCATCGGCCCATCGGCCCATCGGCCCATCGGCGTTTTATCGATGAAATTACCACGTGCCATCTCGACGAAAATAATCAAAATTTGTAACGCGTAAAGAGTAGGTACTATTGTGAGGAAGAGATCTCTCGCTCTTTATGAAAATGAAATCTGATGTGACATTAAAAACCGGAAAACGGAGACTTTTAACGAGATGTCGGTAAAATTATATTTACTCGAACATAAAAATCTGGATTAGCTTTTTGTTGTGTTAATAGTCTTTTTAAATGGTACATTAAAGTGGGATGATGGTATCGTTAAAAGTGTTACATCTGATGATAATAAGCGATGGCGTTTTAGATGGCGAAATATGTAAATCGGGATTCGAGAATTGTAAGCTGATAACTTGATTATAATAAGAAGAAGGTATCTTTAAATATTTATGGAAACGGTGGTTTAAGTATATGTCAAACAATATTGAATGTTATAATTTTTGTCATATTTTTGTGTTTTCATGTTAAGGAAAATTTTATATAAAAAATGGTTTCAAATTCATGTATTGTCCTTCCTTGTATGGTTTGTAGATTTTATACAAAATAAATCAAAAATATGATAAAAATTCAAAAAAAATAATTTATTTTTATTTTTTGAGAATTGATATACGATGATACAGACCAATTGTCAAAACGAATAAATAATGTATTTTCAATTTAAATTATTGTTTAATTTGATGAACTATATAAACTTTTCAGATAGAGAATTTTAGAGTTTTTGAATAGTTATGAAAATTGACAAAAATCCATACGTTTAAAGCCCCAATTTGACTCTTATTCACAATATGAAAAACGTGGATGAAACACAAAAATCAATTAAACAAAATAAAAAAAATACACACCATGAATAAAAGACTAAAACTAACGAACAACCAAATCTCATTTTTTCAGTTTTCAAAAAATTTACAGATTTTTTAAACATTTTAATTTTTGGTACGCAAAGTTCAAAATTTGCCTTAAGGCACGATTCCCTGCACCACTAGTTTATATTTTAATTTATCAAATGTACAAAACTGAAATAGTATAGATCAAATCTATTTATCTATGTGAAATATATATTTTAAAAAACTATAAAATTTATTATCTTAAAATATTTAAATAAATACTACTGCATTATTGAATAATATCGATGCTGCACAAAAATCATAATATTTTGATAAAACAATTTTTTGCAATACCAGCATCAAGCTATCTTTCAAATTTCATTTCTGCGTATACGTTGACACCCATTAACTATTTCATGTTATTAGTTGTTTTCTTATTGTGTTTCGGAAATTCAGTCCACATTCAATCATTTATGTCCTCAAATAATACCAATTTGCTGCAATTCGCCCAAAAAATAAAAACGACCAGCAACGGCAAAACACTAATATAACAACTCTTTGCAAATGAAACCGCAGTAACTAATAAAGCCTTCGTTGTTCATCTGTGTCTCGTTAATTAAAATACTTTTAGGCGTTTGCGAATATTAGCTGAGGCAGTTACTGAATATTATCGCTTTCATTTGCTTTCACAAAATGAAAATTGAGCAAAATCCCCATCTCCAAGGAAGTTATTTTAAAGAAGAATCAACCTAGAATTGCTAAAGTTCTTTGAGAATCTATAATTTGAAAATATACAGAGTTTTGGGATATTAAAAGCTTTACCATTCTGTATTTTGGTTTGAAATTATTTAATGGCTTGTGAAAGAGTTGCAATTTGGTTATATATAATAAAATCCTAATACACCATATGTAATATATATATATATATATATATATATATATATATATAATTTAAAATTTTCAAAAATCTCATGTTTTTAAGTTTTCCAAAACTTTCGAAGTTATTTTGATAATTTTAAATTTTGGTATGGAAAGTTCCGGCAATTTGTCTTAAGGCACAATG